GCGTGCCCGGGTGGCCAAGGAGGTCAGCGTCATCCTAGCCTGTATCAGGAGTAGCGTGCCCAGCAGTGAACATCACCCCCTGTACTCAGCACCTCGCGTGCTGTGTCAGTTCTGTGCCCCTCACTTCGGGAAGGACACTGAGGTGCCGGAGCGTGTCCAGAGAAGGACAATGAAGCTGGTGAAGGGTCTGGAGCACAAATCTGATGAAGAGCAGCAGAGGGACCCGAGGGTGTTTAGAATAGAATAAAATAGAAATTAGAATAGAATAGAATAGAATAGAATAGAATAGAATAGAATAGAATAGAATCAACAGGTTAGGAAGAGACCTCAAAGATCATCGAGTCCAACCCTATCGTGGTTACTAGCCCATGGCACTAAGTGCCACATCCAGTCTCGTCTTGAAAACATCCAGGGATTGTGAATCCACCAAAATTATCAGCCCTGGCAGTTTGTTCTTAGTGCCTGCTGCAGTTCCCTGCAAGACCTGTTCAAATTCTGGCTTCATCTGCTTAAGATGCTTAAGGATGGGGAAGATGGTGAGTACGGCCAAGTAGTCGTGTCTGATGATGGCTTTCTGGGCAGCTGAGATGATGTTATCCCCCTCCATGATCAAGTTATCTAATGACTCTTGGGTGAGAGAATCAAAACTCTTCTTCTGGTGATGCTCTGGGACGATCTCCATTTAGTCTACAGAAATCTCTGGAGGGACCTTATTGCTCTCTACAACTACCTGTAGCCAGGTGAAAATCGGTCTCTTCTCCCAGGCAACAAGCAACAGGACATGAAGAAATGGCCTCAAGTTGCACTGAGGGAGGTTTAGATTGAATATTAGGAAAAATTTGTTGACTGAAAGGGGAGAAAGGTCAAGCAATGGAACAGGCTCCCCAAGAAAGTGGTGGAATCACCATCCCTGGAAGTGTTCAAACAAGGTATAGATGTGGTGCTTAGAGACACAGGTTAATGGTGGGGCTTGATGATCCTAGAGGTATTTTCCAACCTTAATGATTCTATGATTCTAAAGAAACCTTGGAGTTGCTCTTTCCCCTTGTCTGCGTATGGCTTTGGCTATGGATGGGAAGTGTTGCTCCCTGCACCCTACCCTGTACCTGCTGTGGGCAAAGCTGCTCCTGGGCATGAGAACCTGGGTGCTGTCATGTGCCTTCAGGCAGGTAGTGTTTTAATTACACAGGGAACCTGTTGTTTCTCTGAGCTGCTGAAAGCTAAACCTGATTTTCTTTCCTTTTTTCCAAAAGAAAGAAGCTTTGGTATGACAGCCCTCCCCTGGAGACCAAAATGGTAAGTGCAAGCTCTTAAGGCACTGTGACTATCTGTGCCAGGAGGAACAAGCTTGTGCTTCTACTATTGATTGTAACATTGGGAAGAGCATTTTCTGATGGAGAAATAGCAGAATTTTTTGAATGAAAGCTAGGGCTCCAGTTTCACTGTGACATGCCAGGACTTCCATCAAGGGAAGCCATTTGGCTCCTCATGGCTGTTTCCTCTGTACTGAACTTTCATCTGCGTCAGCATCAACACTCTCTTGAGTATGTAGCAGAGAACTGATCCAAATTAAAACTTCTGTGTACAAGCTTAGTTTAATGAAAGATGTTTTTTAATGTTTATTATTTTGTAGCGAGCTATACAGCCCAATAAATCTGTTTTCTGAAATATGGTATGTATCTACTGAAAAGCATTGCTTGTTTGAAAAACAAAGAAACTTAAGAAACTTTGACTGTATTACATGAAAAAGATGTTGTGAACAGAAATGCTCTTTATTGAAACACTTGATACGTAGGACCTATGTAAGCTATCACACCTGCAGTAATGTCGTTATAATAATATGACATAATGTCAGTATAATAATGTCATTCTAAGAGCATACTCAGAGTGCACTTAGAGTGCACAAAACTGTATAGAATTGTCTAATACAAATCTATAACTACTGATTGTGTTGTTTGTTTTATTTTTAAAGATGTATAAACCAACCAAGTTGGAAGCCTTAATGAAAAATGGCCAGATAAAAACTAGGAAAGAAGATAACATACGCTGCAGAGTCTTGAATGGTCTTATTCATAAAGCTCTGTTGGAGATGATGGCTACCTGTGAAGTCAGTCAAGAACTTTATGATCTCAAGCTGGAAATCTGCAAGGCAAGTGCCAAAGCCACAGCTTGTGTTGAACCACTCCGACTATGCTGTGAGGTCCACGTGGCATGCCAGAGGAGCTCCCCTGGCGGTTGTGATGTATGCAGGAGGACTTTTAGTGCATTGCTTCTGCATGTGACAGAGTGCAGCAAGGTCAGGCTCTGGAGTACGCGCTAGGAGAGTTTTGCCACTGTAGTACCTGGCTTAGTAGATGTTTTCCACTGTGATGCAAATGAAGCTTAGGCCAACTAAATGGTGATTCTCCTGGCACCTTTTTTTTCCTGTTGCTCTCACAAACTCTTTGCCTTGCCCTTTCAGAAGGATGAGCCTGGTTTTGCCAAACTATGTGTACTTTTTCAAAAGTCTTTGCTTTTTGCAGCTGTGTAAGAGTTGTTACCTCCTTATGACCCTCACCAGCAACATGACACAGGCAGAAGACCCAAGTGGGGCATGCACTTAGTTAAATAAAAAAGGCAAACCTAAGTAAATGTCATTGTCGGCCAAGATTCAAGAAAACATTGAGATTTGTAGCTAGTGGTGTCATAATTTGCAGATTTGAAAGAAATGTTAAAGTTCTGATTCAGGAACTAACTCTCCACATTCTTGTTTATTGTGTCTAGATTTTATCTCCTATATTTGCTGTTCTTTTAAGATTAAATGGTATAGTGTTTAGCTTAAATGTTACCAGTGTTTGGCTTAAAAGCTTGATGGGTTTAGCTTTGATATTAGAAGCATGGGGAAAAATTGCACCTCATAGCTGCCTCTGTGACAGAAGGTTTGTCATTTATGACTGAAATGAATGGTTTTGCCAACTGAATTCATTCTGTCTTCAGGCAGGTTAAAATTATGCAGGCAAGATGAGTCTTTTGCAAAGCTCTGTTTGTGCAGTATCCTTCATAAAGCTTTTCTGTCTCTCTAGGGCTTTGAGGATTGCTTGTCTAACTCAGATCATCATGTCTGCACATAAAAATACTGGTGTGGGCTAGCCACAGCTCTTTCAGGAGACATTGCTGTAACTGAAACAACTTATAACATGAGAGAGGGAAACATACAGCCTTTTTTCAACTATCATACAGATTTTATAACTGCTTAGTGTTTGTGCTGCACTGGGACACGGCTGGGAGTAGATCAATGCTGATTTACTCATGAGCTGATTCTGGTTTGCTATTGTTACTTCTGTTATCCAAAGAAATTTCCTAGTAGGCTTTCTCCAATCCATCTGACACTTTGTTGTGTATGAAGCGTGTGCATATATATATAATTTTAATGACATGTTTGCCTTTTTACAGGTGTCCTTGTCATCAAACTTTTCAGCCTGTCGTGTGTACTGGAATCCTGCTGCAACAATGGAGAAGGAAAGTTATGTTGAAAGTGTCCTGCGGAAGAGCTCTCCACGCATACGGTACTGCTGTGGGGTAAACGCACCACCTCATAAATCCATAGCCACGGGCTAGTACCATTTCTTAAGGATTTCCAAAATCTCCATCTGACCTATTGGGATGTTTTAGGTTTTTAGATACTTGGAGTCAGCGTCTCCTGCGATGAGCCTCACAGGAAAGGGTGGCTGCGTCAGACCAGCTGTGTATTCTCTTGCTGGAGCACAGCTGACTTATTTGGCTTCTAGGGTTGGAGTGGGCTGAGCAGAAAGCTAGAGGAGTGCAGATAAAATTTCACTCCACTGTATTAGTAGTGGTGGGCTGGACGTGCTGTGCATGACAGTAGGACAAAATGGGATGCTGCACAAAGGAATGGCAATGACAATTATCTACTTTCTGATTCACTGGGCAGTTCTGATCAATAGGGACAGCTTGGACCTCCAGAAGGGATGACTGGTATTACAGAAGTTCTTCACAATAGTGATAGCAAAAAATAAATTTCAGGATGCCACCATGTATTGTGATGCTTTTGCCCATTTTTTTTTGGCAGAGTCCAGTGAGTTTTCAGAGTATCTCTGAGATTTTTGTCTCTCCCTCTTTCCTTGGCTTACCCTCTGCTATCCAGTCAGCCTGTTGGAAGTTCAGGACATCACCACATGTGGAAGGTGGCATAGAAGCATACTTGTACAGCCATTTCCTTTCCCCCAGTTTCCATAGGCTGTGTAATTCCTGCTCCAGCACAATGCTCTCTTCTACTCCCAACATCTTCCACTTTCTGAGAAGGAAAGTTGTTGTCTGGGAAGAAGCTGAGAGGAGTCCTGTCAGTCCTTCTGCAGCTAGCATGTAGGACCAGTTGTCTTGTCCTGCTCTGAGGGGCTCTATCCCCCATTCCTCTTACCCCTGCAGTAGGGATAAGGATGCCAAACAAAGGAGGGAAAGACCTGTGCATATAGATAGAGACAAATCTAATATCATCAATACTCAATGGGATCTGCAGCTAGTAGTTTTTATCTGTTATGGATTCAAAGTTGTGATTCTGTAGTGATGTATTGCTTAGCACAAACCTGAATGGCTTCCCATGAGGCTGTAAGTTTTGCAAACCATATCTTTAAATGTGCAGTACTGCTGGAATTAATTGTAACACATTTTACTTGTCCTGGAGATGCTAATCTGATGCTCATACTAGTGAATGCTGTATTTTTGCCAGGTATCTTCTGACAAGTCAGCAGATTCTGGGAAATGTACCCCCAATACTGTTTGTAAAAGACAAAGAAGCTGCAGCTGTAAAAGAGGTATTTCTCATCTTTGACTCGATGTACGAATACGGTGACTTAGGAGAGAGCTGATCACTCAGTCACTCTACTAATCTAATTTAAAAATCAGTCTTTCTCTGTACCCTTTTCTCTTCAAGTTCCAAAGCATTTTAACAGAAAATCTTGACCAAGATTGATATTTATATAAAATGTAAAAGAATTGTAGGCTGTATCATTAGGCCAGTAAAGAAATTCTAAAAAATGAAATTACCATTTAAGGAATAGTATAGGGCAGACCTGGTGTACATGAATATAGAAATGCAGTTAGAGGAGCTGTCTTCTACATTTTAAATGTTAGGTGTTTTTAAAATTCTATTGAACCTAATCAGTGATTTTTAAAATTTTTATTTACACTCCCCCAAGCTTTTTCCATCTGTGAATTGTTAAAATGTTTCTAGGGAAGTGCAGATCTTTGCACAGATGATGTAAACTTACTCATACTCCATTTTTTTCTTTACTTTTAAATTTATCTTTACTATTTCACATTTTGTCAAGATGTTGATAGTCTTACCTAGTTGAAATATTGCTAGAATAATGATGTTTCCTGGGAATTTGGGGTCACAAGGACTGTGAAGCAAGGTCTCTTACATAGTGAGCTTTCTAGAAGAGAGGGATGACACCAATGAGTAGAATTTAATGATGAAAAACATCTCGGGCTGTTGATGTGAATAGAAGGAAGTTGAAAAGAACTTGTTCACGTTTCTGTGCCCTGAAGTGCATTATTCTTAGATGTGTTGCTGTTATAGGCAATTACTGTTAGTGACATATGGGTTCCTGTGGTGTGTATTAGCAGAGCTGGAAGGGATAACAAGACCTCCAGACTCTCTAGAAATGCAGTGAACTGCTTGAACTTTCTCTGGTCAGAAGAATTCTGAGTTTCATGCCAACATACTGATCCACCATGCAAATGTTTTTCGCCTGCATTAGTGTCAACAAAAAGTACAGGAACAGAAAAGAGCTCAACACTTCTGAAAGCTGTTTCTATTCATTATTATGCTTTCCTTAATCAACTCATAAAATTCTGCACTGCAAGTAATGAATTATTATGTAGGCACTTTGTTATTACTATTACTCTATTATTAACATACCTAGATAAAGCTACAAATATCTGCTTCTGCAGGTCCTGCCTTTCAGGTCTGTCCTTTGGAACCTGCTGCATTAATCACTGTTTCTCAGACTTTCTTAAATGGACACATAGTCTTTTTGAAGAAGGAAACCTCTGGGCCTTGCTTTCAAGTTCAGTGCATAGGTACCAAGGGAGTTAACCACACAAGAAAAGTAAAAATCCTCCTTAGGTTGCTTCTGTCAGGGAATGGCACTGGGAAACACTTAGACAGCAGATCATCTTCTCCCACTTTGCAGTTCATCAGATTTATGTCAATCATAGAGTCAAATAACAGGGCTTGAAATAATGTAGCTGAACCTGATTTTTAAGTATTGGAAGTCGGGGAAAGGCCGTCCAGTTAAACTGCCAGAATAATACACTGAATTAGAAAGCAATTAATGTAAAGAAAAGTTGGAATAAAAATTTCAAATAAAAGAAAGTTTTCACAATTATGTAGAGTCTATGAGCACTGAATATACTAGGTTTGTAGCATTTACATGGTTAGGTGCCATGTTAAAGGGAATTGGGAACTCCATAGCTGTGTGTAAATAGAAATGCAAACTCGCAGAAAGGACAAAGAAGGGAAAAAAATCTCAGTGTAAGGATGTTATGAAAAAGGATTTCCAAGACTGAAGTAAGAACAAATAAGCCAAAAAATATGTATATCGCACAATCCATACCCAACTCTTCAGAATGTACATAAGGCAAAAAACTTTGTAGGAATCCCTGGATTCATTACACTATTTGACACAAATTCCTAGGCAAGCAGTATAAGCAGTTCCATGTAAATGGAGGAAAAGGCTACTTTGAAATGGTTTTGCTAAATGTTCCAAACATGTAGAAAATTAAATATTTGCTGTTAGATACCTGTCTGTTTTCTGTGTAGGTGTAAACAAAATAGATTTAATACAGGATCTTTAATATGTGTTGTCTTCATGTGTTTACAGGTTGAGGAATTATTGGCAATTGCTGATTTTGGACCTCCAGAAGAAGAAGAAACGTTATCTGAACATGATTCAAGGTGGGTTTTTTGAAACAGAATTGTACAAGTGTCTGTTTTCATTTCTGTTGGTCAACTTAAATTGGGTATTATTTGACATGACAGGAAGTATATTTTAATGAGATGTGTACATTGTTGTTATCTCAGAGTTCAGCAAATGATGTTATGAGGAAATAGAAAGTTGAAGTCTGTTTGGAAGACCTTACCAAAAAGGTATCTCATCTTTTAAAGAGATCAGCTGTGCTATTTTGTTAATGAAAGAGGCTACGAAATAGCCTAGGACAAAAACCAATATATAATCATCACAGAAATTAAATGCAGGGGATGACATTTTATTTTGTGTCTTAAGCTTTCTTTACTGAACTTACACCCATTTATTAAAATGAAGGGAAAATATTTCTTATTATATATGCTCTGATTTATGTTCTTAGTTTAGTGTAGACACATTTCCATATGCTACTTTGTTATTGATTCCTGTGCACAGGTACCTATCTGCAGACCACAGCTTTGCAGATATGGGGAGGGAAGGTCTATTTCTTATGCTTAAAGGAACGTCTGTTAAGCTGTGGGGAATGACTGAATTGCCACTTGTAACAGCATAATCTGTATTCTTTCAAAGGCACCCACCAGATGATATCAGAACACAGTCTTAGAAAGCATCTCTGTTTGATGTCTATACCCTGAGCAACCTAGTCATCAGATTTTGTTACTTGCAGGACAGTTCTTCAGGTGCAAATCAGAAATAGCTTCTTGTGGGAAATCTGCTCTGACAGATTCCCGACAGGGCGCCGAGCATCTTCGTCTGTGTCTTGTGGAAATCGTTAAGTCCAGCTGTGCTGGTTTGAAAGCAAACCAGTGAGAGACTCCAAGTCAGAAATACAATTTAATAGGAAAAATAAAAACAATAAATGCAACAGTACAAAAAGAAAGCACTGACAGAGTCAGAAAGCAACCTGACACCCTGTCAGTCAGGGTGTTGGTAGTAGTCTGATTACATGGTGCTGCAGTTCTCCTGGAGTGATGGGTCTGTTGGAGTCCTGCAGATTTGGTCTTCACCTGAAGGTCCAGTGGTAGCTCTTGTCCTCTGGGAATCCAGCAGGCAAAGAGCATCTGTGCTGGTCCAAACCCCAGATTATATCCATGTGGGAATGCTTGGCTGCCCACCTTGGCATCTCACAATGGGACAGGTCATGCTTGGGTCCCTGACAGCCCATTAAACAGAGACAGCCCCTGAGGGAGCCATCAGGGATGAGTAGGAGATAATGAGCACTGCCCCACCTGCTTTAACAGCTTGTGGAGACCATAATAGAACACATACTATTGATTACACCCTACATTGTAACCTAGGACACCAGCTTAGGATGTCACTCATACATCAATCAGTCTGATGTGTTTTGGGCACAGGCTGCTATTTCTCCCTTCTTGGAAGAGTTGGGGAAGTCTTAACTTCTTGGAGCTCCCAGATCAAGTGCTCACTCTGGTACCTGTATGCACCTTTCCCAGAGACAAGCAGTTTCATTTGGAATGTTGTTTTATTGGCTTTCTCCCATTAAATCTGTTGACAGGCTTATACACAGCCTGTTTTTGGACACATGATACAGTGGTATCTCCTCCTTTGTAACACAGGGAGCACAGTGATGAACACAGGGCATTAGTAAAGTCAAACTGGAAACTCTGGTTTATTTCTGTGTTGCTCAAGTTGTCACAATTAGCATTGCCCTTTGAAATATACACAGGGGAAAACACCCACAATATTTGTTTTCTTTTCCACAGTAAACTGTTCTCTTCAGCAACTCCATCCTCAGATTCACCCATGCGATCTAATCTGTTTGGTATTGATCATGAACTGCTGAATAAACAGATAATGGACTACAAAAGACTGAAAGTTTCAAGAGATATAGAAAGCATTGCCTGGACGAAAGAGCAGGATCAGCAGCTTTCTAAGATTCAAAGGAAAATGAAAAAGAAAAAACCAAGGAATCCTCCTGATGATGATGATGATGTTACACCACAGAAATACTTGCTGGACAGATATGAAGCTGATTACTGGGATGATCACACTGAATCACTCTCGGACTATGAGTTGGGGGATGAATCACAGGAAGATGTAAACGAATTGAAGATGGGTAAAGGCAAAACTGATAAACTGAAATGAAAAAGCTGCTCCCTTCGAAGTGGAGGCTGCTAATAGCAAAAAAAAAAGACTGCCATAGATACTGAAATATTCATTTTGTACAGCCTTTTTACCACTTCCTTATTCAAACTGATAGACTTGCCACAGGTGGGGAAGGTTTGCTAGCACAAAGTATGTAAGGAAACCAAAAATGCAATGTGATATTCTGTTAAGCAGCTTTTTAGCTGCTGCAGTTGTAGGACTTTCAACCAGAGAGCAGTTTTGTAACAACCAAATATACATATTGCAGCACTGAGTTGAAACTTCTTGCAGTTGTGTTGATTATTTTTGTATTGCAGTAAAATGTCTTTTTCTTTTCTTTTTTTTTCTTTTGAGTGACCTGGATAACAATTATCACAAAGTGATGGTGTCTGTTATTCTGAAGTCAGGAAGGAAGAGGGAAGCAAAATAATGACAGTGGTGTTCAGTCTTCAGCACACCAAGACCAGGACAGGGTATTCTCTAGAGAACCCAGTCTAATGGGGGGAACTCTTTCTACAAGAAGATGAAACTCATTGAAATTATGGACAGTAAGTTTACAACCCTGAAAGAAAATGAATTTATTTTAATAGGTAGAAATTTACAGTTGGGCGAGGAAATCTGCAGCCAGACAATAATGGAGCAGTGCTCATCCATTGGGCAAAGCATTGACTCTGACTTGAAAAAATGTATTAACAACTCGAAAGGCAGAGAAAAAGCAGCAGGAAAGAATACCCCAGTAACTGCTGAGATTTGAAAATGTATAGGGAACCATGTAAGAGTAAGAATAATACTTTCTGACTTCTAGCATGTTAAAAATAATAGCACGAGTGTATAAAGTCAGAACGGCACAAGCTTAAAAAAATCATAATGAACGAGGTAGTGAAAAGGAATTCTACCAGAAATACAGAACATTTAATGCCATGAGTTAATGGGGGAGTAAAAAAGTGCAGGGGAGTTTGCACTACAATAAAGTAGAACCATGAATTGTTTGGGTTGGAAGGGACCTTAAAGGTCATCTCATTCCAACCCAACCCCACCATGAGCAGGGACAACTTCCACTAGACCCAGGTTGCTCAGGGCCTTGAACACTTTCAGGGATGGGGCATCTACAGCTTCTCTAGGCAAGCTGTTCCAGTGCCTCACCACCCTCACAGTAAACAATTTCTTCCCAATATATTATCTAAACCTACCCTCTTTCAGCCTGAAGCAATTCACCCTTGTGCCATTGTTTGTGCCTTGTAAAAAGTCCCTCTCCAGCTCTCTTGTAGGCTCCCTTCAGGTACTGGAGATGCAATAAAGTCTGTCCTCTTCTCCAGGCTGACCAATCCCAACTCTCTCAGCCTTTTGTCATACAAGATGCTCTCTGAGCATCTTCATGGCCTCCTCTGAAATCTCCGCAACAGGTCCATGTTCTTCTTATGCTGGGGCCCCAGAGCTGGATGCAGCACTCCATGTAGGGTCTCACCAGAGCAGAGGGGCAGAATCACCTCCCTTGACCTGCTGGTCACACTGCTTTTGGTGCAGCCCAGGATATGTTTGGCTTTCTGGGCTGCAAGTGCACGTTGTTTATGTAGTTGCTCTTGTTTATCAAAAATATTTAAAAGACAGCGAGTGTAAGTTTCAGAACACTAGAAACAGTCTAAAGGATTTTTAAGATGAAGAGAGGAGTTCAGGTCAGCAAAGAGCACTGAATTTCACTGTAGGTGTCTTGATTTAACTCCAGCTGGCAACCAAGTACCACACAGCCACTTGCTCAGTCTCTTGCCTAACTTGAAGCAGGTGAAAAAATCCCACAAATTTTGCGTTTGGGCTTTTTTAGGAGTTCTTTCTAATTTCATGGGACAGACACACTTTGAAGCAGATACTTTAGTTTGTTTTCCAGTGAGTGTAGGTATTTATATCAGAAACTATTCATGTGCAGTATCACAATCAATCCAAGCTAGACATGAATTTGTTGCAACTTTGCACCAAAGCTCTTTTTGAATGCATGACTGGACCATGCTAATTGGTACTTGCTAAATAAGTCTGCAGAATACTAATGTCCCATCTTGAGTTTCTGCTGTGTGGGGCTGTCTGGACTCTACCTAAAGATTAAAAAAAGGAGTAAACTCAACCAAACAACACCCAAACCCCTACATAATTGCAGAATCCCTTGGTTTAATTTTTATGTATTAGATAACACTGATGGGGAAGGACTTCTGGGACCTTCAGACCTGCTCCCCAACCTTTAATGGCAGCCTCTCACTGCAGTCCTGTTTTCAATTGTTAGGCCTGGTTAGGAGTACACAGCTGGGATTAGTTGTTTTTTAACACTGGCAAATCAGATGTGCAGCTGGATTTATGCAATGGGTGCCCCGGTGAGCACATGCTACACTAGTCATGTTTGAGTCAATATTAGTCAATGACAGTTTTAAAACACACAAGAGCTTTCATTGCTGATAGCACATTGCTGCACTACACATTTGTACTTTCAAAATCTACTAGGGTGAAAGACCAATTGTTCTAATAAACACCTAAACAATAAAGCCTCTCACTTCAAACTGTAAGAACAAAAATCCAGAAATGTTTGTCTATTGTGGTAATTAATTCTGATTTTTTTGGTAGTATTTTCTTCAGGTAAGTCCACCTTACCTGGTGGGCTTTGCTCAGACTCACTGGAATACAAATCTGTTGAAGAATGCTTGTAGTCAATGTCAGTTAATTACTCTCTCTCTGGATCTGAGGAATAGGTAAGGAAAGCAAGAGACAGAAAACCAAGCCATGGGAATGGATTCAGTAAAATGTCAGTGCTACAGCAGATGTCTTGAGATCTGTGATGCGTGCAAGGAGAAAGTTCCGTGGCTGGGATCCATGCGCTGTCACAGTTTTCAACAAGCTACCTGGGACAACCTGGCATCACTTCAAGTGGTGATTATTTTATTCTGCAGGTTCAAGCAATATTTGTAGCCTTTTGTTGAACCATCTGCAGTTGCAAAATTTATAAACTTATTGTTATTGGAGGTGTGTTAGTGGCTTTCCAAATAAAGCAATGCATATATGTCTGTTCCTGGCTCCCACAGGAAATCCACAAGTCAGTACTGTCTTGATGTGTGGATCTTTAAGGCTTGCTTCAGTGCTAGACTGAGGAGTCTGTGAGTGTCTCCACTGGTGTGTATTGGGAGGAGACTTCTCTATTCCTAATGTTTACTTCTTCAGTGGAAAACTGGTTCAGTATCTCACAGCAGTCCAGAGCTGTGATTCACAAAACTTTACTGACTTTATTGACAGTGCTAACTTGTAATTGGAAAGTATCACCTGTTTCTGAGGGCAGGCTTCAAAAAGAGCAAGGAAGGAGGAGCTGCTACTGCTGGACTCTAACTAGCTTACCACACCTTTGGGTCTACTCAGATCAGAAAGAGTTTCCTAGGAACCCAGGGTGGCTACTGACAAAAGAAAGCATGGTATAATGGAGCTTTGGTTCTTCTCCTGTTGACCTGATAACAAGCTGCAATGGCAGTCACAGAATCACAGAACAGTTGAGGTGGGAGAGGACCTCCATGGACTGTCCAATCCTTCTGCTCAAAGCAAGGTCAGCTACAGCAGGTTGCCCAGGGCCTCAAACATCTCAAAAGATGACTCCAAAACTTCTCTTGGCAACTTGTAGTAGAAAAACTAAAGCAATAAAATACCTATCCATCATAAATCCCATGGTATGGAAAGAAAATCATGTCTCTCATCTGACAGACCAATGCAAAAAGAGGACCAGCTGTGCTAGAGAATCTTCTACTTTCTTAAATGCTGAACTGAGCACCAAATGGAGTGCCTGACATTTTTGTCCTAGCCTGAGGTTTTTAAACAGTCAGAAATCAATGAGAAAAGTATGTTGAAGATGAGAAGTCACTCACAGAGTTCAATTAACACAGTAAATCTGCCTTTCCCAGTGCTTGGCTGGAGAACATGTCATTTTGCCTGAGCAATGATCAAGCCAGGCTTTAATGATTACCCTCAAAACACATTGGCACCCTCAAAACAGTTTGTCAGGTGATGGACTTCAAATAGCTGCATCAGTGGTGAATTTCTTTGGGGAGGAAGCTGAACTCCTTCAAAATAAACACTATGGTTTTTCATTTAACTTTTCACTGTTCATATATAATGAAAGAGCCACCAAAATGCTTATTTCACATATTTTCTCTCCCTAGGCTGCACAAGAGATTTGAAGAGCTGATGTGCAGACCAGTATGCCTCTTGCTTGCTGTTCTGGTTTTGCTTGGTAGATTCCACGTGCTTCTTATAACCTCCTGAAAGAAATACTGAAAAAGAATATTCAAAAGTAAAACAGCAAGCAGTGATATCCTCAGATAGCATTTCCTCATTAAGAGGCACAAGAGTCAAGTCATTCATCATTGCTGCTGACTCATATCACATGGTCTCTGCCACCAGGCAGGACCTCAAACACAGTGAAAGACACTCGGTGAGAACTTGGGGTGTGAAAGTGGATGGTGGAACCCTCAGCAGACACGCTAACCCAGTTACGTTGAGCTAAAAGGTTCTGCACCAAGCACCAGTGTGACATCACACACAAGGGCAAGCCCTGAACAGGAGATCCCTGTGGACTTTTTGATCTTTGTGGCCCTTCTTCCCTCTTGGCAGCAGCCACCGCCATGCAGAACTCAGCAGCTTCCCAACAAGTAGGTATTGGGCCTGAAACATCCAAAATGGAGAACAACACAACAATGTCCCTGGAGCATGTTACAAATATTTACAGCACAAATGGTAGCCCTTTCTATCTACCATCAAAAAGCAATGGGGTTTGCCACAGAAGAGAGGAAGCACCATCCAGCACACAATTTTGTTTCAGAAGATTTTGGGGTACTGAGTCTCTCAGAACATATGCAAGAGTGTTCTTCAAGCTGGATGCAATTGTTCAGCTCACCTATGCTCAGATTTCACCCCTGCCTGAGAACTATGGTGACATTTAATCTTCCCTTCCCCATGTGGGAATGAGGGCTCTGCTGGGGGAA